TTTAATTTAGGAAAAATGTAAAAATATTTACTTAAAATTAGAGTTGCACGAGATCGATATCTCGACCGAGACCGAGACGAGAATCTCGGCCATTTTCCAATCTCGGTCTCGGTTTTGCCGAGACGAGACCACCTAACCGAGACGAGATTCTCGGCACTTAATCTCGCCGAGATCCGAGATCAGTATACACCCCTAAAGATTGACCTTCTTGAGATTTATTTTTATTTTGCAAAATATTTAAAATTTCGCTATTGGTATATTGTTGTGCTCACTTTAATTTAGTTGTCTAGTGAGCGGGGCAGGACAAATAGGCGATGCCGAATACACATCAACCTTCGCGGAAAAAAGTTTTTGCCGCTGCGGAGGAAGCGGGCATGTCGAGAGGAACGACGGCCGCCGCTTTGCTACGGTCGCCGCTACGCTTCGCTGCGGTCGCCGCGACCGCAGCGAAGCACGGCCATCGTGTAGCGAAGACTTGCGGAACCCAACCCCAACCTTGAACACAAAGAAAAATCAAAAATTTGGGGCTTCACTCCCCAATTGGCCGGCCAAATTCAATTTGGACAAGAATGTAATTTGGATGGTGACATATATAAACCGTATTTCTTCTAATAGTGCGACTGTCTCTATCAGACCGACCCCTTCTAATAAACCGACCCCGTAGAGGAAGGTTGAAAAATAAACCGACTGCCTCTATCAGACCGACCCCTTCTAATAAACCGACCCCGTAGAGGAAGGTTGAAAAATAAACCGACTGCCTCTATCAGACCGACCCCTTCTAATAAACCGACCCCGTAGAGGAAGGTTGAAAAATAAACCGACTGTCTCTATCAGACCGACCCCTTCTAATAAACCGACCCCGTAGAGGAAGGTTGAAAAATAAACCGACTGCCTCTATCAGACCGACCCCTTCTAATAAACCGACCCCGTAGAGGAAGGTTGAAAAATAAACCGACTGCCTCTATCAGACCGACCCCTTCTAATAAACCGACCCCGTAGAGGAAGGTTGAAAAATAAACCGACTGTCTCTATCAGACCGACCCCTTCTAATAAACCGACCCCGTAGAGGAAGGTTGAAAAATAAACCGACTGCCTCTATCAGACCGACCCCTTCTAATAAACAAGTGTCCGTACATAAGTGTCCCCTACCCTTTATACTTAAGTTTTTCTGGAGAAATGGAAAAAATTCTAGTTGTAAAGGCAAATATGGATAAACTGTTGCTTGGTCCACCAACTGAAATTGATTCTGATGAAACATATGATTTTGATGATAGATATTTAATTAATAGATGATATTTAATTAATTTAAATGGGTTTTGGTGGATAAAAAAAGTTTTGAAAAATCTCGGTTTATCTCGGATCTCGATATCGGTCTCGGGTCAAATTTTGCATCTCGGTCTCGGTCTCGGTCATGCGAGTCTCGGTCAATCTCGGTCTCGGATTTATTCTAAAATCTCGATCTCGTGCAACTCTACTTAAAATTGAAAATATATACAGATTAGGGCTCTAGTTTAGGACATGCGTCCCATGAGCGTTTATGCGTCCCATGAGCTTTTATGCGTCCCATCAGAGAATATGCGTCCCAAAAATAGTATAGGCGTCCCATCAGAGTATATGCGTCCCAAAATTAGTACAAGCGTCCCATCAAAGAAAAAGCGTCCCATAAATAGTATAGGCGTCCCAAAGATCCAGTCATATGTTCTTCATAACATATCTTCTCGATTACATTTAGCATGAAATATCTTTGACTCGTCTATTTCTAGAGAAAAGTAAATACAATTTTGCACAGCTTATCGTAAGATTATCTATAATGCTGCTGGACCTCCCATTATATCGTAAATTTTATTCAAAACCTGACATGTCGTCCCCGTCAAACTCCGATCCCCGACACTTCTGACACCGAAGGCTCGGGGGGCTACCCTACATATTAATAAACAAAATTTAATCTTCTGCTTGTTGATCCTTGAGCAAGGAAGCATAATAATGTGTTTAATTGTCATTTTTAATAAATGTAAAAAAGTAGTTTTGGGACGCACATACTCTGATGGGACGCCTATACTATTTTTGGGACGCTTTTACTTTGATAGGACGCTTGTACTATTTTTGGGACGCATATACTCTGAAGGGACGCTTATAGTATTTTTGGGACTCATAAAAGCTGATGGGACGCATAAACTCTCATGGGACGCATGTCCTAAACTAGAGCCCAGATTAGACTCGATTATACTATAAAGTACTGATCCTATTAATAATCAAATAAATTTATTTACCTTTGTTACTGACAAAATAACAGTAACTGTTTGTGCTGCATTTTCCTTTATTAGAATTTAAATCAAAAATATAATAAAATATGTATATTTACTCGATTAATTAGACAATAAATATTCCCATCCCCTTATGACGGAATACACGCCAGGAAATGATCCGTCCCGATTCCCGAAAATCGGAAATTAAAATTTAATCGGGAATTCCCGTTCCCAGTTGTGACTTGGACTTCCAAAATTCTCAAAATTTCGCCTGCGGCGCATTAAGTTATGTTCCCGACGTTTTTTTGATCGGGATCCCTATTTCCCGAAATCAAAAAGTTTGCTTTTTGTCGGCTCGTTCCCTGATACAAATTATTAGTAAATGTTGGTGTTTGTTGGTTAATCAACATTTAATTTTGTTTCTCTATTTGATAAATTCTTGCAAAAAGTAGCAACTCGGACATAAAATCCGTCTCTACCATTAAACACACTATATAGACAGATTAATAACCATAATTAATCGAGTATAGTAGTATGATTAAATTAGAATTATTTTATTATGATTAATTATCCAAACCAGTATTTGTTAGGTCTCCAGTGTAACAATTGAGTGCCTCTTAAAAGTATTTTTAATTACAAAAATGATTTAGATTAATTAGATTATAATCCTTTACCCGATTTAACAACAAGCATTGAAAAAATAAAAATCATAGCAAAAGCAAATTGTAATTTATAGACGAACATTTTTTATTAATATAAATAAATTTATCCTTAAAATTTTATTTATAGGTAAAGCAAAAATTAATATAAGGATTTATTAATATAAGGAATAAAATTAAAATTTTTAAAGAAATATTTTAAAAGGAGGAGGAAATCTTTAAATAAATGAGAGGAAGAATGATTGCTCTTCCAGTAGAGATCGAGATTTTTGAAAAGCCTGAACCTGTTCCTGGACTCTGGAGTTTGATTTCTTGAGCTTGACTGGATCCTGCGCCTGTAATCCAGGAAAAACCGAGGAAGGTCAAAAAATGCCTGGACCTCGATTTTGGGTACAGGAAAACCCAGGCCGATCTCTATCTTCTAATCATAATTTTAGAAATATAATTTAAAATAAAATAAGAATTACTATAAAATTAATTAATGTGGAAGTTTATAACGAGTAATATTTAATTTATTCTTTAATTATTTAAGTAGTGGGGTGTTTTATTTGGTTAACTTATTATGAAGATTAATAACGTAAGCCACTATACGCGTGGCAAAGACTATCCAAGACTACTGCGTGGATAAAGTAAGCCAATATTCTCTCCGTTATTAAAACGTTGAGTCTTGTCTCAAGGTTAAAACTTATTTGTGCTAATCTTTTAAACTAACTATATTTATTTTTAAATATTATGATCTGATAAATGAAGTAAATAACCAATATATACTAGACTGGGTATTTAAAGTTAATATTATAAAAAGTACATTTATTTTTTAGAGAAGACTCAAATATTTTAGATAAATACTTAAAAATTTAAAATTTAGATTTTAGCTTAATATCTGGCCAAAAATCAAATTGAAATAGCAATTTCTAAATTTAGTTTACTATCCACCTGAATAAACAATTTTTAAATAAAATTATTTTTATTTTATAAATATTGATAAAAAATCAAAAAAATTTTTTTAAAGCAAACCATGAAAATATTTTTGGCTTATTAAATATTTTATTTGTATTAAAAACGAAAGGCAAAATTATCAAAATTTTTCCACTACGATAAGGAAACTCTAAATAACGGTTAATCAAAGCTATGGATGCAAATCAAAGCCTGAGACCCTTTTTGATTTTTTTGAAAAAGGAAAAAATCTGGAAAATGAATCTTTCCAAATTTTTAAAATCTTCGCCTGCGGTGCAAGAAATAGAAGAAATCTGGCTCTTTGGCCTTTTGAAATTCTCAAAATGTTTGTCTGCGGCGCTAGAAAAGGAAGAAAAACTGGCATAGGCCTTTCAAAAACCTCCAAATTCATAAATCTTCATTACTTATATAGTGTTGCAGATCCAAACTCCTGAAAAATCTCTAGTTTAATTTCTTCCAAGCATATTAACTATTTATTTCTGATCCCAATTTGCTAGGAAATCTCTTTGCCCCTTTCCGAAAAATCAGGAAATTTAGCTTCTTGACTTGCTCTTGACTTGCTAAATAGTCCAAGCTATTTTGGATCATCATCAGGTTATAGTGGGGGTGGATGTTCTTCATCCTCCTACTAACTTATCTTTGGGAAAGCAATAAGGAAGTAAGCTGGTGCTTTCACTTGATTACCTGAAGAAAATTATAATAGAGAGTAGAGATCGGACCGATACGATTTTTTACGATATTTTTAGATATTTATCGAAAAAGTAGAGAGATAAAAGGAGAAGACTGCAGCAAAAATTCATTTTTGCAGAAAGTCATTTGCGAACATGTAAAGGACAAGCTGGCCATTTACCAAAATCAACGATACTTGCAACGGCAATTATCATTGATAAGTTTGAGAAGTATTTGTTATTCCAAAATTTAAAAAAAAATTAATAATTGTTATTAATTTTTTTAAATTTAATAACATCAAAGCTTACAATTGGTCTAATCAAAGCTTACATTTGTTTAAAAAATAAATTTCTAATATACCTATTAAAATTAATATTCAAAACTTTTAATTTTAATTCTAAAAATTTTTAGAAACGATAAAAAAAACAAAATTTGGGCACTTTACATTTTAGAAAAAATTTAATTTGGCTTTTTAAATTATTATACAAGCTTTGCTTCGCTCATCAATTTTACCCGCCAATAAATTATTCTTTTCAGCAAGTTGTAATAAATGCTCATTTAACTAAAAATATTATTTTAAATAATTTTTTTTTAATTTTATTTTTTACCTTAGCCCTTTCTTTATCTCTATCAAGTGCTTGACATTGATAAAGAGTAATTCGATAAGTCCCTAAAAAATAAAAAATTTATTTTCAAAATTTGAATTTTCTTTGGTAATAAATCATAGAGAACCCCAACATAATTTTTACCCACCCCACACAAAAACATTTAAGGCCTCTTCTATATTCTCTTCTAATCTATAGTAAATCTAACCGATAACAGGATTTCTAGCTCCTTTACTTTTAGCAACACTTCTAAGCATTTCTTCTGTTATTCCATAACTTTGTAATTGGGACCAAACAAGTCTTTCCAATTTACAATGGGCCAATGAATGCTCATTTGGATTTAAAGACAAATTTACATAAGAATCGGGAAATTTACATTCACTTAGCCAATATGTTCTCTAAATTAATTTTGAAAATTAATTTTTAATATTAATAAAAAGAATTTTTTAATTTTTCCAAACAGAGAATAAACTATAGTCTTAATATATACCGTATATCCTTTAATAACTACCCTGGGTAATTATTGTTTCGACCTTCCGCTGAAGAGAGTAATTAATAGAATGAGAGAAATTATAGGAGATTTAAAATTTGAACGTGTTTTAGGGCATTTGATGGGGGGGGGGGTAATTATTGTTTCAATCTATTGCTGTATGGGGTAATTAAAGGAAGTGGGCTAATTATTTGAGGGAGGGCAATTAATACATGTATACGGTATATTATGTTTTTAATTTGAAAAAAAAGTTTTTTAGTAACTGCCACACTAAATATTAGATGGAATGGATACGTCTGTTTTACTCTCTCAACTTTCGGTCACTTCCAAAAATATTTTTTAAATACCTTAAGTTCCAAAATATTAGCCCTTCTTTTAGCGTCCAATTCAAGCATTCTAGTAATTGAATGTTGTGCAAATGTTGAAACTTTTTTTGAAATAATTTTTTTGAATATTCTCTTTAATTTAATTACCATAATCAGGCATATAATAAACCCCTTCCAAAATATTTCTTTTTAAATCAAAAACAGTTTCTCCACGAAAAGGAGTAACACCAACAAGCATAAAATAAAGAAGTATTCCCTTAATATTTTAATTTTATTAAAAAAATATTTTTTTTTAAATTTCCTATCATCGCCCAAATATCAACCATCGGGCCAATATATTTCTTTAAAAATAAATTAAAATTATTTTAAAAAATATTTTTAAAATAAATTTACTTGATCTCGAAATAATTCAGGCGCAGCATATGGGGGAGAACCACAAAAAGTATTTAAAAAGGAATCGTCTTCAGGGCTGGACGCAATTGCGGATTGCGTATTGCGGATTGCGTGAAATTGCGTGTTTTTTTGACTTGCGGATTGCGTATTGCGGCTGCGGATTTTAAAATTAAAATTGCGGATTGCGTATTGCGGCTGCGGATTTTTACGATTTTTACGCAATTTTCACGCAATTTTTTGAAATTTCACGCACCATAAATGGAAGAAATCTGGCCCTTTGGCCTTCCAAAATTCTCAAAATTTTCGCCTCCGGCGGTAAAAAGAAAGAAATCTGGCCCCTTAGCCTTCCAAATTTCTCAAAATTTTCGCCTCCGGCGGTAAAAAAAGAAAGAAATCTGGCCCCTTGACCTTCCAAAATCCTCAAAATTTTCGCCTGCGGCGCTGAAAATGGGAGATTAAAAGTGATATTTAGGGATTAGTAAGATTCAGGGGATTTAGCGAGATTAAGGGAATATCATGGGATAATATTTGGATTTGGATTAATAATGGGTTATTGTTGGGTTGGGTGGTTGATATCGGAGCTTTGATGGATGTTGTAGAATTAAGATGAATATAAGATTACTTGGTGATTATGGTGGATATCGAAAATCCGGGCAGATTAAGAGGTCTATAGTGGATGTATCTTGATTTTAAAGGATATAGAATATATTTCTTTTATCTCTCTTAATATTGCTCTTCATCATACTCTAAAGTGGTATACCAAATTGAATTTGGATATATCGCGGGATTTAAATAGAATATATTAAGGCGGATAGACTCGGATTTAAAGGGATTAAGGTGGATTCCCCTGCTCTGAATCTCTCTCAATCCCTTCAAATTCCTAATCTTCTATATCCTTCCAAATCACTGATATCACATGGAAGCTTCCCTAACACTTCAAATCTCCTTATTTTCCCAGACTACCACTTATTTCAAAAATTGCGGATTGCGTATTGCGGATTGCGTGAAATTGCGTGTTTTTTTGACTTGCGGATTGCGGATTGCGTCTGCGGATTTTAAAATAAAAATTGCGAGTTGCGGATTGCGGCTGCGGAAAATTTTTTTTCAATTGCGTCCACCCCTGATCGTCTTCGAATTTACAACTAAAGCCAAAATCTCCAAGTTTTATCCAGCCTTTTTTTAATTTTTAAATTTAATTAATTATTAATATTTACCAGGATGTGAAAGAAAAACATTTTCTGCTTTAATATCTCTATGACAAATATTTTTTGAATGAAGGTGGGCAACTGCCGAGACTATTTGGGCTGTTAATTTTTAATTTTTATTTAATTTTATTTTCCTTTAAAAAAACCAAAAATAGGTTTAGCAACTTCTTCAGTCAATTTTCCATTATCGTGTACATAAGTATATAATTCCCCACCCCCCGCATATTCCATAACTAAATGGACTTTAGATAATGTAGCCACAACTTCAAATAATCTAATAATATTTGGATGGTGTAGTAACTCCATATTATCAATTTCTCTGTTTAAAACTCGTTGAGCTTTTTGGTGACAAATTTTGGTGACAAATATTTAATTTTCCGATTTTGTATATCTTTCCCAAAAAGATTCGTTAAGAAAATAAATTTTTAAGAAGAGTTACATAGCTTTTGGATGTTGCTATATTTTTCAGAAGGTTTTCATTTTAGCCACTCTAGGAAAAAAACTGGCTAATATGTAGTAGGTATATTGCTAACCACATTCACAAAGAAAGAATTGACGTTAAATAATAGTAAATGTATGTCAGTGAAGAAATTTTTGTTGTATCTATATTTAAATAAAAATATTTTTTCTTTAAATTATTTACTTTTTTGACTCTAATCAAAAAATTTTTGTTAATTCTACCTTAAAACTTTCTAAAATGGTCTTTAGACTTGTTAAAAATGGCAAAAGTAAGTAAAAAATAAATAAATTTTTCAGAAATAATTTCTAAAATTTATTTTAATCTTCCATTTAATTAATTTTCACAAAATGGAAATAAATTTGTTAGATTAACTAATATGTACATAGAAAATTAAACTTTTGCATAAATGTCCATTAGATATCATACCTAAAATAAATTTTACTTACCAGTCGACAAAATACCAGAAAATTTGAAAAATATTATAAAGTGCTAAAAATATGGCAAAATATGGCAAATATATAAAATAGGGCGAAAAGAGCAAAAATAGGGAAAATTTTCTATAAATAGGGTAAAAAGGCCTGTACCAGTTAAGTGTCATTTTTCAGATATTATTTTCTCATCACAAATTCATTACGTTCAATTCTTGCAAATTTTCTCGGTCCACGTTTGCGAATTAATAGCCAAAAAATTCATATCGTTAGTACAAATATACAAAATAATAACGTAAAATTGATGTCCCATACCAAAATTTATATTAAACTCGAATTTAGAATAAACTACAGGGTGTTTCAACTAAGAAGCACTATTTGAAAAATTAATAACTTTTTATTATTTTGACAGATTTTAATAATTTTTGGTATTTTATATCTATAATCTATAAAGTTTTTTTTGATATAAAAATTATATCGAAATTCGAACCCTAACCCGAGATAATTTTGTACTCTACCGTTCTGTTTTTCCCTTTTTCCGCACATGCATTCTTACTCCCCTTTGTTTTTTACAAGGGGCGATAGCATTAGAGTAAACACTAGGCGATAGACACTACATTTTCAATAAAGTATCCACTCTTCTCCATACGCAGGAAAATAAATGAAGTAAGATAGCACACAATGAAAAGAGGGAAAAAAGAGAACGGTTGAGTACGGATTTGAAATGAAGGGTTAGGGTTCGAATTTCGACATAATTTTTATATAAAAAAAAACCTTATAAATTATAGATATAAAATACCAAAAATTATAAAAATCTGTCCACGCACTAAAAAGTTATTAATTTTTCAAATAGTGCTTCTTAGTTGAAACACCCTGTATTTTAAATAAACTTAGAAGCAAAATAAATATTTTTGTTCTAATTTTTAAAAATGAAAATTAATCAACAAAAAAATATTTCATCAAAATTCAACAAAAAACAAAACAAACCAATTCCTCTTGAATTGCTTGTAGACATTTTTAAATTATCATCAGCCCCACGTGATATTAACAATTTATTTGAAAGGGAACGTCTCGAAATGTAAAAATATTTTTTATTAAATTAAAATCATCCAATAGAATGGCCGGCCATTCTATTTTTTAATCATCCTCCAGAGGCCCATTCAATTAGAGGGGACCATTCAAATGGTCAATACTGAACGACCAAAACACGGTCCAGAAAAATAATTCTTATTTGAAAATCAGCATTTTTAAACACATTAATAAGAATATTTTTAAAATAAATGGAGATTTTATCTCTGTACCGTGTTTCGGTCGATCCTTGATTTGGTAAGACCGTGTTTTATCCGTTCCGTGTTTTAGTCTCACACATATTGATACATTAACATAGTAAATTAACTAAAATAAATATAAACATGCTGAGATGTTTTTTTAAAGAGCATTGGGGCTAAACAAAAAAATTACTGATAAGATGGTGACTTACGAATTATTTATATTATATTGGAGAAACCATATTAAAGCAATGTTAACAACTTCTAGAATAATTTATGTGTTGTGCGAAAAAAAATTTGGTGAAAGAGAGGTTGGTACTAAATATTATATGTAAGTAAAATATATAGGTAATTAAAGGGTACTAATTTAGTTCCCCCCCCCCCCCCAGCCAGTTTTTTCGAAAATTATGTAAAAATGGTCAGTCTGAACAGCAATTGTAGAACCCATCGAGCTGTGTCGAATGACACCAAAATCAACAAAATCAGACTCGATTTGACCGAAATACAGACCCCTGAAAATTGAACAACCATGGGGGTGATTTTTCGAAATAAAAAAAGTTTACCCAAATGATAGCTCATTCGAAAGAGCTTGTCGAGCTGAGTCTAATGACAGCAAAATCAACGAAATCGGACAAGATTTGACGAAGTTATGACATTATTTAGACCTACCGGAGTCGACGATTTATGTCATATCTTTGTCAAATCCAGTCGGATTTCGTTGATTTTGGTCTCATTCGACTCAGCTTGACGAGCTCTTTCGAATGAGCTATCATTTGTACGGATTTTCATCTTTATGATTTTGTGCCCCTGTGGTTTAGGGGTCTGTATTTCGGTCAAATCGAGTCGGATTTTGTTGATTTTGGTGTCATTCGACACAGCTCGATGGGTTCTACAATTGCTGTTCAGACTGACCATTTTTACATAATTTTCGAAAAAATTGACTGGGGGGGGGGAAACTAAATAAGTACCAATTAAAGTAATTCTAAGTTTTTAAAAAATTAGGAAGAGGATGATAAAAGATAAATATTTGTGACAAAACATGAATTTCCAAAAATTTACTGACGAGTAAATTTGTCCGATAGTCGGAAATCCTCGGATATCTGGATCCGAAAACATTACTGACGAGAGAGAAATGAAAGCTAATAATTAATTAAAAATCTACTAAATACGATTGGGGTTACTAAAAAAACTACTAGTGTTTTCTTTACATAAATCTATTGTTTAGAGGAAATAAACAATTTTTTCAGACTAAATTATTTGTTGGAATTGAAGCGAAACAAATTCATAGTAGATCAGAATTAGTTCAATGTTTTTTGCGCATAAACGAACGTGCAGAAGAAACGGTGAATTTAATAAAAGTATACAAATAATATAAATATGGGGAAAATTTAGAGGAATATACTAGTGATAAAAATCCCATACTTATTTTATAATTTTCAAATTTCATTAGAAACTGAAAAAATTACCTACTATATTAGTATGTACCAGTGCTGGGTATGGCTCCGGGAACTAGCTCCGGAGCCCGTTCCGGAGCCAAGATTTTGGAAACCCCGGAGCCGGAGCCAAGAATTTGAAGTGCCCGGAGCATACACCCCTAAAGATGTGTTAGAGAAAAAGAAGTAAGCAAAGATGGTAGGCGTGAAAAAAAAGGAAGAGAAAATTGAGACGGGTAAAAAAGATTTTCTTTCCTTTCATTTGCAAAGTTGGTGTGGTTGAATGGATAGTGAGTTAGGTTCCGAGTTTTATCCAATTGTAGATTCGAAATATATTACTACAAATAATTAAATAATTGTTTTAATTTGGAAAATAAATTTTCTTTTTCAAAATTTTCGCATTTTTTTATTAAATAAAGCTGGATAAACTTTTTAAATTGATTAATTTTAGTCTCTTTTTTTTAAAATTTTTCAAAATTTTCGCCTACGGCGCAAAAAAGGAAGATTTTTGGCTTAAGGGTTGTCCAAAATTTTGAAAATTTTCGCCTGCGGCGCAAAAAAGGAAGATTTTTGGATCCAAATCTCCTTAACTCCCCCCCCCCCCGAATCGCCCTTAATCCACCTAAATCACAAGATAAT